CTCAGCCCGGCGCCGCGCGTCCGGGCCCGTTCCCCGGGCGGGAGCGGCCGCCCGTCCCGCAGGAGTGCCGGTAACGGAGCGGTGACCCCGCGGCCTGTCTCCGCGGAAGCGGTTAATGGTGTTTACGGAACAACAGCCCTTTAGGTGGAGGCAGATGAACCTCTGCGGCTGACGGGCCCTTCCCGCCTCTGGGGGTCATTTCTTTGATGCCTTCACAATTCAGAAGGGTTGTGGGAAGCCGTGTTTAACCAGGCGTTTGTTATGTCCGGGTGTCTTTGTCTCCCAGATTTATCCAGAGATAATTCCTCGTGTTGGAGACTCGTTTCCCCCTCACAGAACGCTGGTGGCTCGCTGTCCTGTCACCTCTGCTCCGGGGCACAGCGCTCGCCCCTTCCACCTGGTCGGTCCCGGCTTGGTAGAGGGACAGTTTACTTACTTCTTTTTCTTTTTTTATGTCATTTTCTGCTCCTGCACAAAATTCATGTGTCCCAGGGTCATTTGTTTTGTGAACAGCACAAACACCACAGAGGACAAAACCTCGTGAGTGGAAGTGAAACGGTGAGGGCCGGAGACCGTGCCACAGGCTCCACGAGCAGGAGCTTTCACTGGAGCATAAATCCGCAGAGAGAAGCCGGGCTCAAGGTGAGGCCGAGCGTGAGGAGCCCGGGGTGCTGCGGGCGCCCGGCCAGCAGCGGGAGGAGGACGGGAGCAAACAGGCAGAAGAGAGGAATGAGCCGAGGGAAAGAGAGGATCGTAGGAGGAAGGGAAGGGTCAGCAAAGGAATGATGGAGAAGGCTGCAAAAGAGGATGAGGAGAACAAAAAGAGGATGAGGAGGACAAAACGGATCGTGCTGGCAAAACAGTGTCAACAAGTTTGCTGACGGTCAGTGCCCAAAGTAGCTGCATCTCTGTTTGTTTGGAGAGAAAGCAGTCGCCACTAATCTCTCAGCTGTCCTGCTGTAATGAAATGGAGCGGAGGTTTTGTTCTGACCCCTCTAGTTTCTCCCTTCTTCCACCATCCTGGTGATAGAAATGAGTTTCTCATTCTCAAATGTGTCTGGAGTGCACACAGAAACAAGATTTAAAAGCCGGGGTGCTACGGGAAATTAATAGCATAGCATTCTCTTCAGCAAAGGCCAAATGTGTGAATCTGTTGTATGTGCATTACTTACTACCCTCTGTAGACCACTTATTTTAAATCGTGGGTGGGTTTATGCATATCAGCTTTTATTGTCGTAGCAGTTCAGAGGCTCTGGAACACGCAGCTTCTATCATTGCAATGGGATCTGAAAAATCTCAACAGTGGCTTCCACTGTACGAGCACATACACTGTGTCATTATTCTTACATTGCCAGGCAGCCTAAATGAATTTTAATGGCTTTGGTGTACCACAGGCTTTGTCACGCCTTTGAAATTCCTCATGTTTATATTCCTGATGGGAGAGAAAAGGTCTGTCAAATTCCATTCGGTTGTTATTTTTTTAATACTATATTTTCATAAGAATATCTGCGTACCAACTAAGAGTGGGGCCCCCAGGACAAAGAAGAGTAGTTTCAGCTCGGAGAGCTTACCTCTACCAAGGCAGGACAGACCAGATGGTAGGGACGAGTGCCCCAGAGCAGAGGTAACAGGATAGCAACCTACAAGCATTCTGTTAGTTCCAATTATTTTTTAATTTTTAAGTGGATATTCTCATTGGCCCTCAGGGGAAACGAGTCTCCAACATGAGAGAATTATCTCTGGATAAATCTGGGAAAGGAGACGGACAAAGACACCTGGGCATAACAAATGTTTGATTAAATACAGCTTCTCATAACCCTTTTAAATTGATGTGATTTGAACAGACAGCGGAGAGCAGTCAGAAGTGACTGTTCCCATGGGGGAAGGGCAGAGAAGAGGTGATAAAACAGCCCAAAACTGGGCAATGAACTGCTCCCCACTCTGTTTTTCTCTCCTATTTCTTTTCTCCCCTGAGGTTGCATGCATGCTGCAATGCAAGGAAGGTGATTTGGAGACAGACATCATTCTCTGTGGTGCGTTATTAATGAGACATTCAGATACATCACCTGAATTCAAACAGGTGCTGCTGTTTGTAGGTATGTATTTAATTTTCCATCAGATGCTGGAGGGACAGATTCCAAACCACCTCAACACCTTTGACACCACAACTGGCAGATTTGTTGTCCCCCTCCCTTTGGTTCTGGCCATTACTGATGGGGCTGTGTCAGATTTAGGTCAAGCTCCCGCAGCTGTATCTGTTGATCTAATGAGGTTTTGTTTCTCCCTTAACCCTTATTCCTGTAGAAGACCTTCTGCTAACTTTGCTTTAAGCTCTCTGCATGTTGTGTACTCCGCCACGAGTCCGTATATAAATAGCAATCGACCTTCAGGCCTCGTTTTACCTCAGTGACTCTCAAGTACTGAATTCACATTGTCGACGTTCACACATCAGCCCAGCCGAGGGGAATCTGCCATTTTGCCATGACATTGCTTTGCTTTCGGTTGCTGTAAGATCCAAAGGAAGCATTCCTGCTCAAAGCACCCTTTGGAAATTTTGACAATTAATCTGAATACTCTAGAGGCAAAATAGGTCCTGGGAAAGGATTTAGGTTAGGAAAAAAGGTGGTTAAGACCTCCTTCGGAGCTGTAATACTAAAAAAACAACTGGTTTTCATGAAGGGATATAAAGTCTCTAGGTGGGGTCATAAACCAACCTCTGGGTTTTGGTATTTGTGAGAAAACTCTTGCTAGGGACAACGCTCGCTCCCATATCTACTGAGTGCATGTTTTATTCCCCCAAGACAGGGCTCACCACTTTTTTGTCCCTGTTATGAGATGCACATTACATATTTGATTTGAATTCCTGCCAAGATTCATTTTCCTCTGAATCAGTGTATCAGCTTTGGATAAACGAGCTTAGAAGACACCCGTGGGGTACATGCTGCCGATACCCAAGGTCAGGTTCTTGCTATAAAGCACTTGTCTTCAAACTCCCAGCACCACGGCAACGGTCCGTGTCACACGTTCCGTGTGTAGTTTGCCTTGTGCCAAGGCCGTGCAAAGAAATGTCTTGAGCAGCGCTTAGTACCAGTACTAGGTAGTCACCACAGATGTATCCATCTCCTCTTTCTGCGGAACTCACTCTTCATTCATGACAGGTGAATTCACGTTGTTACTCTTGGGAAGACTGGGATAAACTGCTCACAGAGAATTGGTGTTGGCTTCCAGAACTGTTGGGTCGTGCATATCTTTTACGAATACATTCATTATAGATTTGAACATCGCTACTGTAAACAAGCACCTGCCTTATCTTATTCCTTTACTTTCAAAGGATTAGTCTTTCATATCTGCCAAGACATGGAATTATTCAGAACAAATCTGGGTTTGCATAATATTTATAAAATATTTTTTAAGTGAGATAATCTCATCCTCCTCTCCCAGATGCATTCAGATTAAGACAGTGAACTTTCTCCGTTCTCTGCAGCACGTGTGACTCACTCTTCAGTGTGGTATGTATTTGTGTTTACACTGCCATGGAAACTCTATTTGTTCTCTGTACAGTAAAGCACATTACAGTGAAAGGGCCATTGATATTAACATAGACAGTGACTTCATAAGCACCACCAAAAATTGACCCCAATCACCCTGCAACCCTGCACATTCATTTTCCCTTTGGAAAAAAAAAAAATAAATAATAAGCTGGATGGCAAGTTAGCAATGAGTAGCAAGTCTGCGGCAGCAGAATCTTCTTGGTTGCTTTAGTATCTGGCAAAGTCTGGAATTTTTCCAGGTGCATGGAGTAGTTATAAGTGATGATGATGATGTCTTACAGTGTGCTCATTTCAGTGTTCTTCTGTTGCATGGATTTGGTTCCCTGTCAGGCATGTCCTCCAGAAGGATGGAGAAGACCTCCACAAATGTAGATGAAATCTAAAGTATACAGGGGGGTCCCTGCAGATGCACAGACAGATGCAGCTACAGATAAAAGGCAAGCAGGCTTCAGGGTACCCGTTCAGAGCAGCAATTTCAGGTATACCAGTGAGAAGTGCCAGCACTTTGCTTCTGTTTTTTTCCTCCACATAAATAAGTATCAGCCCATTTTCATCTTAGCTACAGCTTTATACCAAGGTTTGCTAAATTATTTCTCAGCCACTATGAACAGGATCTAGGTCACCAAAATGCAGCCAGCCGAGATGTAATCCAATAGTTCTTTAACACAAGGCAGCACAGTGAATGCACAAGGATTTCCCTACCCTGGTGCTTATTCCTGACTCTCCAGTGCAAGCAGAGGAATGTCAGGAGCTGGAATTTGGCTGGAGCAGAGTTAAAGTTTTACTTTTGAGGTGGGGGCATGTCAGGAACTTTAAAGGCCGCAAGTGCAGAGAATGCATGCAACAAATTAGGCTTAATGGAAGAAATGGTCAAATTTTCAGGGCTAATTTATCTCTTTATGCACAAATATAAAACCGGAATTAAAGTTCTGACATTATATTCTTACCTATTTTGGCTGGACGTTTATGCCCCAGTGGATTTAAACAAAGATGGATGCAATTCAGGTCATGCTGCAGCTTAAGTGGGAAGAAATTCTGAAAGGTTTGCCTTCGGTATGCAAGAAAGTAAGAATGAAAGAAAATTCAGTGATAACTGTACTTGTTAGTTCAGCAAAGAACAGTCACGTGAAAGCCCTGAGAAACCAGATCAACGAACTGAAAGACAACAAATGAGATAAGCCTTCAGCTGTGAAGGGATGGATGTTTTCTCAAATGGGAAGGAATGAGGCAGTTCGTGTGAGTGGAATATACCACTCTGAAGGCGTATTCTATTTTTTGCCCAAGGATCTCAGTTGTTCATTTTATCCTGAAATAAGCCATGTAGCTTTCTGCTTGAGGTGTTTTAGTCTCAGCTCTGTATTTTCTTGGGGACCTGATTTTCCACCGCA